CATTTTTTTCTGCAAAGATACAGAACTTTAAAGAAACCCTTGCATTTATGGCATATACTGCTGGCATTAGCATTACCTGATATGCACCTCAGAGAGCTTGCTGGACAGATTTTGCACAGTATCTGTGTGCAAAAAATACTGTGTATACACACACAGATACTCACACACAAATACACACAAAAAAGGCTCTTGTCAGAGCCATATGATGTTATCATCAGTCATATTTGGCCAATTTTTGCCTAAATTTTTTCTATGCCATATTTCTTTTGAACAGTGTAGTTCCCATTCTATCGAGAAAATTAGATGTAGCTTCGTTAAAAGAATGGGAAAATGGTGCAGCAACTTTAGATCGAGTTACATTCAATAAGTTTACAGGATTTTTAGAGGAACGGTCAAGATACTTAGAAAGTGTTAATGTTCCAATTCAGAATATAAAGACGGAAACCCCAATAGTAGTAGCAGGTATCCACAAGCCATTGCGCGCAACGACGACCCTCGCAAGCACGCCGACTACCTTCCCAGCGTGTAGTGCTGGGCATCCCTTGTTTAGATGCGAAAAGTTTAAGTCATTGTTGATTGATGAGAAAACAAAGATAGTCCAAGCATCTCGTAGTTGCTACAACTGTTTGCAGACAGGTCATCGGGTACAAGCGTGTACTCAAAAATTCTGTGATATTTGTAACCGGAAACACCATATACTGTTGCATAGGGAAGTTGCTCCTCGGAAATTGCTCCTTAAGCAACTAATGTTTCTATAGAAAAAGCGGGTCCTTCTGATCCCAATAAGATAGCGTCATGTGTTGCAAATGTTGATAACAGAGCTTGGGAACATAGTATATTGTCCACAGCAGTCATTTTCGTAGAAAACAAAGGGGGACAGAAATTAGAATGTCGGGCGTTGCTTGACTCAGGTTCGCAGTCGAATTTTGTTACGTACGATGTTTGCAAAAAGTTAGGTATTAACTGTGAACCTACAGAAATGCAGGTATCTGGGATAGGCGGAAAGGTAAAAATAGTTCGAGATAGGGTTAATATAAAGATCGGCCAGGGCGCAAGACCTTTTTGCACAGGCCCTGGTCGAGCGGGAAGCAGGTATAGGAGTAGTGGCGGAGCCCTATAAAGTCCCGGTCCATCCAAACTGGACCGGGGACCGCTTGGGCTCCGTCGCTATTGTTTGGACAGGAAGGCCCGGATCTCCGCCCTGTACACTCATCGAAAGCGGGCGGGGATTCGTGGCAGTCAACTGGGGTGTCACCGTGGTGGTGGGAGTTTACGCTCCTCCGAGCTGGCCCCTCGCGACTTTTGAGACTTTTCTGGACGAGATTAGGCAATGCGTGTCCCGCTGCCTGCCTCGTCCTGTCATTGTCCTGGGGGACTTCAACGCCAAGGCTACGGCCGGCCAGCCGACGGGCACGAAGGGGCCCGTTGGCTTCGCCGCGCATTGACGCTTATATGCGATGCGGCGATGCCAAGAGCGGGTCCCTCATGGAGAAAGGCTGTGTACTGGTGGTCGCCTGAAATCGCGGAGCTAAGAAGCGATTGTATTCGGGCGCGCCGCTGGTACACACGTGCCCGTCGGCGACGTAGAGAAAGTCCGACGTGGGTGGCACAGTTGTATGGGCTTTACAGAGAGAAAGTTAAAGCCCTGCAGCTGGCCATCAAGAAGGCTAAGGCCGAGGCATGGCAGGAGCTCCTCAATAGATTAGAGGAAGATCCGTGGGGGCGCCCCTACAAAATTGTACTTGGTCGACAGCGGCCATGGGCGCCCTCGTGGGCATCTTCGCGCGAGGGAAAGCGTAGAGCGTAAAGGCCGGTTCGCAAACATCCAACATGGCCGAGGAAGGGTCGCTGCAGGCGCATGGAGAGCCCCAGTCGGATGGTCCGACGAGCTGGGGGTCACAGACGAGGAGCTCCTAGCCGCGCTGAGGAGGCTCGGGGCGAAGAATACCGCCCCGGGTCCGGATGGAATACCCGGCAAAGCTTTGGTCTAGGCCTCGGGCGTCCTTTGGACGGATTTGAAGGCGTTGTTTACGCGGTGTCTTCAATTTGGGGAGTTCCCCCAGGACCTGCCCCGGGGGGGACGGCGGTTGCCTCGATGGTCTGGGCACCGCCGTAAAGATTAGATTAGATGAGTTTGTCTTGTCGGGGGGAGGTCTTACGATTTCCTTCCGGGAAGGGCTCGAAAGAGCAAAGCGCGGGGGCCCCAGTTGTGTTCTTTAGAGTTCCTGGGGCTCCCAACGCCCCCTGTGCGTCATTGGAGGACCACCGTGGGGGTTTTAGTGGGTAAGAATCCCACATAACCCCGTGCCCTCCCCCAAGGGTGCGGGGTATCTTTGGAAGATTTCCCCCACGTTAAAAAAAAAAAAAAAAAAAAGGTTAATATAAAGATAACATCACGATTCAACAACTTTAACGCCAATGTTACATGCTTGACAATAAATAGAATTACTCAGGACATGCCGAACATTGACATAGAAAAATTAGCAATTTCCGTACTGGCGCATGTCAAATTAGCAGACCCGAATTCCGATAAGTGTCGGCCGATTGATATGTTAATCGGTGCCGGATTGTTCTGGCATCTATTATGCGTCGGTCAACAGAAAACAGGGACCAACTTACTGTGGCAAAAGACGCAGTTAGGTTGGGTGTTAGGGGGAACCGTAAAATGGTCCATTCAAAACAAACCGTCAAGGCAACAGTGTAATTTCGTTACCAATCACGATCTTTCAAATCAATTGGAACAATTTTGGAAGGTTGAGAACGTAACGGTAGAGCAGAAAGATAACATAGATGATTGCGAATTACATTTTCAAACCACAACGCGTAGAGATGAAACTGGACGGTTCATAGTACAGATTCCGTTCAATGACAAGATCGGGAAATTGGGATCGACCAGACATAGCGCAGAAAATAGGCTTAGATCGTTAGAAAACAAATTCAGTAGGCAACCGCAGTTACGGGAAGAATATGTAAAATTTCTCACAGAGTATGAACCATTAGGCCATATGTCGCGAGTCCCAAATTCAGAGATAGATACCGGGCTATCGTTTTATTTTCCTCATCACGCCGTAACGACGAAACTTCGTGTTGTATTCGATGGATCGGTAAAAACAAGCACGGGCATTTCATTAAACGACACTCAGAAGGTCGGCCCAACAGTTCAGAGTGAATTAATAGATATATTATTACGATTCAGAATATACAAGTATGTACTTTCAGCGGATATAGAGAAGATGTATAAACAGATTTTAGTAGAGCCAAAACAACGTAGTTTACAACGAATTTTATGGCGGTCAAGTCGTGATGCTCCAGTTGAAGTATACGAACTGAATACAGTTACATATGGTACAGCTTCCGTGCCATTTTTAGCCACGCGTGTATTAAAGCAGATTGGATTAGATTGTGCTACAGAAAATTCAACCGTTAGCACGATTATCATTAACGACTTCTATGTTGATGATTTGTTGACGGATGTGGAAACAGAATTAGAATTAGAACAAGTTAAAGAGGCGTTGTCCGATATTTTAGGAAGGGCAGAATTGCAGTTAAGAAAATTGTCTACGAACAGTTCAGCGTTTTCGAAGCATTTAGATATTCAGGACAAAATGTCAAATATAGATAAGCACCCGAAAATCCTCGGGTTGCAATGGTCGCCAGCTACAGATGAGCTCTGTTCTTCAACTACACCATCAGCACATAAACGTGTGACAAAACGCACCATTTTGTCGCAAATAGCTCAAATTTTCGACCCGTTAGGTTTAATTAGTCCAGTGATAACCAATGCCAAATTAATAATGCAACAGTTGTGGCAACTGCAGACAAACTGGGATGAATCAGTGCCTCAGGATGTGTACAAGCAATGGATAGATTTTATTACAGAGTTAGAGTTCTTAGATAAAGTAAAGATTCCTCGTCGAGTGATTGTTGCTACGGGAAGGGTAGAAGTAATTGGATTCTCTGACGTATCAGAAAAGGCGTATGGGGCTTGCGCCTACTTACGGTCACGCGGTAGATCAGGTCAATGGGAGTCTAGGTTATTATTATCAAAATCGAGAGTTGCCCCTTTAAAGACAATCACATTGCCCAGATTAGAACTTTGTGGGGCATTGCTACTTGCGAAGTTAATTAAAAAAGTAAAATTAGCACTCAGACTTTTTATAGACAGGGAATGGTATTTTTCGGACTCGACAATTACCCTTTCGTGGATTCGCGGTCAGTCAGACAAGTGGAAAATTTTTGTTACAAATCGGGTCACAAAAATTCAATTATTATATTGAATTTTTGTTATTATTAACCGACAAACAGAATTGGTTTCATTTTCGGTCATCTGAAAACCCAGCAGATTTAATCACTCGTGGAAGTACTCCTAAATTGCTGGCCATTAATGAGTTATGGAGGTCAGATCCGGGATGGTTAAAGAGTGAGTCGGACCTCTGGCCACAATCATTAGAAGAAATAGTTAACATTCCAGATCAAAAGAAATCCATAGTCTCAGTAAACATCGTAACATTGGACAACAATGATTTAATTGAACGGTACTCTGATTTCGACCGGTTACTTAGAGTTACAGTTTATTGTCTCCGGTTTATTAATAACGCGCGGAAACTCAAGACAAATAAATCGACAGCGTTAGGAAACAGTCAGTTATCAGTCATAGAATTACAAGAAGCGCAAAAAATATTAATACGAGTAGTTCAAAAAACAGCATTTTCCAGTGAATTTCTCTCGTTAAATAAAAATCAGTCAATGCAGAAACAAAGCCCATTACAGGCTTTGGCTCCGTTTTTAGACGAAACAGGCATTATTAGAGTTGGCGGGCGTTTAAGTAATGCGCTTATTAAATACAGTAAGAGACATCCCATTTTATTACCAGCAAAGCATAAGTTCACTGATTTGATTATTAGGCGTGAACATAACAGACTACTTCACGCGGGCTGCCAGCAAGTAATCGCGTCACTGCGCGAAAACTTTTGGCCAATCAATTGTACACGCAATGTGAAAAGAGTTATTAGAGGCTGTATTAGGTGTTTCAGAGCCAACCCACGGGGAGTACAGTACCCTATGTATCAGTTACCGGCGGTCAGGGTAACACCTGCACGACCATTCGCTACTTGTGGAGTAGATTACGCGGGCCCATTTCTAACAAAAGAGCGTAGCCGCAGTAAGACATCAATAAAATCGTATATTTGTCTTTTTCTGCGTTTCGCCACCAAGGCGATCCACATCGAGTTAGCAATAGATTTAAGTACCAATGCATTTATCAACTGTCTTCGACGGTTCGTAGCTCGCCGAGGCTGTTGTCAACACATATTTTCGGACAACGGAACAAATTTCATAGGTGCAAAAAATAGATTAGCAGATCTAGAAAAATTAATTACTAGTGAGCAGCACAATTCGGAAATTACAAAATTTTTATGCGGAAAGATGATACAGTGACACCTAGTACCTCCTCAAGCGCCGCACTTCGGAGGTCTTTGGGAAAGCGCTGTTAAGTCTACCAAGTCCCATCTCAATAGAGTCATAGGTGAACAGAAATTAACCTATGAAGAATTATACACGCTATTAGCTCAAATAGAATCCTGTTTAAATTCACGTCCCTTAAGTCCCATATTTCTTTCCGAAACGGAAAGAATTGTTCATTACGCTCTAAGTTTTCCGCATCGAGGATGATGGACAATTCTTTCCGTTTCGTACTCTTCGGACTTACCGTTGGGACCGTAGACCCTCAGCTATCAGGACCGTAGACCCTTGACTATCAGTTTCGGCAAGCAGAGTCAAACCCGCGGCACTTACCGCAACAATAAGATCGATTTTATGACTTACTACTCAAACCGAGACGTCACTGCTGAAAATCAGTAAATTTCTAAGCGTTATATCTCGAAAACTAATAAAAATTGGGTAAGTACATAAAACCTTGATGAATTCGTCTTGAAAAGCATTTTTGATTTGAAAAGCACTATCGCCTGATCGAAAAAAAAATATATAGTTCCATTTAAAAAACGAAACTTCACCATCATATCTTTTACATTAATAACAATACAAAAATTTTGCTTCCGCCAAAATGTAGGGCCTCTTTTGCCCTGCAATTTCTGTATAAGCACTTTTTCGTGACATCAATAGTTCATAAGATATCACGCTGTAACACTTTGGCGCGGACACCCTGTATATCATTTTCGTATGAAATACTCTGTAATAAGTGTAAATACCGTGTATTGCAATATTTAACAGGTACATTGTGAAGCTTACTTATAGTTCTAAAAATAATGCAATATATAATCAAATCAACTGAACTATAACAAATATCTCCTACTTAAAAGGTCACTACATTATCATTTGCAATTTGTAACTGTAAAAATGTTGAAAAATATGAAAATAGTGAAAACTGCTGAAAACGTTAAAGCATCAAACGCAACGGAATATTTATCCAGAGAGTGAACAATTTTCATTTTATTCATATTTCATTATTCGAAATCCCGAAGATTAAGTCATGTCGTTTTCCAGCTCCGTCCAGGCTTCACCGATGAATCTTGCGCCAGACTGTTCGCGCGAATTAGCACAGCCCATCCATTTATGTTCGCGTTATTCATCGAAACATTTCAGCAAATCTTTTTGTACCGTTGTCGCGTTAAACAGTCGCTTTGCTCGAGCGGATCGTTGCATGCAGAGGAACGACCAAGAGGAAAGGAAACGGGAGCGGGCAAGGAACGGATGTGGAAACGTTGGAAAAATGTAACAGCGTCGAGGGAGACGTGTTTCCGTCTCGCGTTATTATCATAGAAACGCGAGGATGCTTCCAGTACTACAATGACACCTAATGGAAAGAAATGTAATGTAATATCCGGTGAGGTTTGTACGCGAGGACGAAGGGAATTGGAAAAAAAAGATGTTCGGAATATGTTAAGCATACGTCTACCGGTAAAAGCATGCGACGTAACAGACTTTTCTTCGTAGAAAGCCAACAGACTTATTTTCTACATTCTATGAATTTATTTGTTACAGCAAAAATTTAAATTTGGAACAGTTTAATTTGTAACACAGGGTCCTGTTTCAATATTAACTTCCTGCGCTCGTTGAAACTTTCAACGTTAATTAATTTAAATAATAAACCTGATATTAAATTAAATTCATATTGAATCGAATCAATAGAACATTTGTATCAAATTACGAAGGAAATTAAAATTCTGTTCTTATGTATACAACGTTCTCGAGCATCCATTTTAATCCACTTCAGGTATGTATTTCCATATAAAAAAAAAGAAGAAAAATGTACTGAAGCGTTTTCTTATTTTTATTTTTCGCGGAACGTCACGCTTGTTAACTTCGATCATCACGCAAACGTCCATTTCACGGCATTGGTTATTAATTAAAAGGTCTAGTAGTTTCTGGACGGCCGTCTGAATTCATAGGCAGCTAGTATTGTCTGTGACAGGAGGTTTTTCAAAGACGACTGCCACCAACGTAGTGAAAAGACCGAGACACGAACGACGATCACGATAATTATCCTGCTCTCAACGGCAGTTTCTCTTCGCCAATTTTACCGTGCAACAGTTTCGTCGGAGCGCGAACCGTTTTTGCATGTTCGTCGTGTAACACGCCTCTTACTTCCTCTTTCGTGGTCGGCTGCTGCACTTTCGTCCAGACAAGGGTTGCACCTCGCTAATTTTTTGGCGAATCATGAGAAAAATATTCCTCTACTTATTCAGATTCGAACGATACATCGCAACGTCTGCAGCAACGTATAAAATTAACCCTGGCATTCTTTGAAGACTGAACAGTCAATACACAACATTATAAAGATATAAGTATCACAAAAATTATAGGACGATTGTAAAGATTATAGAAAGGATTAAAGAGAAGTAAATATCATATAAATTATAAGTAGGTAGATAATGATCTATGTAGTGATACGGAGATATACAATTATAAACATACAAGAAACTAAGGGTGTAGAACTCCCTTTTAGAATCCAAAAGAGTCTAAGAATAGAGGTTCTAAGGATATGGGACAAAGATATGAAAGTCTAGAAACTGAGGAATATAAGAGAGATTTGAGGGCTTAAAATAAGAATATTAGAATGTAAGGATGTATTATCAGAATTTTGGGATTAAGACATATAGAAATATACGCAGTGGGTCATGTGTTTAACATCTCTATATTCCTACATGCTAATATCCCTAAATCCCTACATCCTTATATTCCTATATCTCTATGTATACTGCCATACCCGTAAATCCCTAAATCGGAAGATCTCTAAATTTTTAAATCATAAAATTTTCAGATCATGATCTCTGCATCTCTATCTCTCTGAATCTCTATAACGTGAAACTAGAAATACGATATCTATTATTTTGACCTGGTCCGTTGTTCTGGCGTTAAATATTAAAGTATCAGGATATATCGTTCACATAAAATTTTTATGCGAAAGGTCAAGCTACATGCTATCCATAAAATCGTCCAGGGCAATATACTACTAATAAAATGTAGGAAGGCAGAGGCGACAATTTTTTACTTGCCTTCTGAAGTAATATTTTTCTGTCTGACCCGAAGTAATTCCTGGAAATTTGTTTCCTCGCACGAAGGACAAGCTTGGATTTAGGAGTACGATCACATCAACAGTGGTATGTTTAGTTGTTCGGTAGACATTGTACCGGGAACACGTCCGAAATGAGCGAAGTATCCGTCCGTGACACGCGAAACACAACAACGAGAGTAGATACTATCGTAGCTTGCGGCATTTTGCTTCGAACGCCCCGACAACAGGTTAGTGTACACAACTTCGCTAGCTTTTAACGCAATTAACACGTTCGCCGGTACGGTAGATGGCAGCTATGGCGCATTATGGCGTGAATTGTGAAAGATATTAAATATTAATTTTCCTAATTTTACCCACTCCATTGTAATATCAAATAGCACTCGGGTCGTAACTTACAATTAAACCTTGACGAGACGGCGACGCTTTCAGACAATTACATTTTATGTTTAATTGTAATTGCAATTTGCACGGTCAGCAATAACTGGGTTCACAGTGCGCTAACCTTTTCTTTCAAAAGCCTTAACATTAATACAAATTAAAATTTTGAAATTTAAGTGTAGATTTTGAATTTCCCAATCAAGTTAAAATCAAATTTTCAACATTCGATTTCAAATTTTCTAAATTTGGAGTTTTCAATTCTTTATATTCTAAAATTTTTTAATTTGAAAACTTACAAATTTTTAAGATTTTGAACTTATAAATTCAAATGTTTTGAAAATTAAGAAATTAGAAATTCTCAATATTTAAAATTATATATTTTAGAAATTCTGAAATATAAAAATTTTACACGTTCTTAAATTTGCAAGTCCTCAAATTTCTGAACATTCAATTTTTCATTTCTAACAAGTTTTAAAATTTTTAGACTTTTTAGACTATTTTAGACTTTTAAATTTTCAAATTTTTTAATTTACAAGCTTCAAAAGTTAGAAACACCCAAATTTTGAAATTTACAAGTTTTCGAATCCAAAAATACAAAGTTTATCTTCCATCACTATTTTAACGTTGTATCTTTATTTTTCTAATTATCATTTGTTTATATGCCACATTGTTAAATACGAAATGTGCTCAATATTGCAATTTTTCTCATACATCTTAATATCATATTAATAATTAATTGATTCTATGAAACTTATCTACTATGGAAACCATAAAGCAAATCATAAATCATGAATTGTTGCGTGTTTCAGGTTGCTCTATCAAACTACCAGTGTATTCTTCGTCTGTGTTCTAATTGAGTATTGTTTATTAGCACAATTAAGTGTTATTTACATAAATATCTGATGTTTCACTATTTGCTTTACCGTTATAAAATTGTAAACTGAATTCGAAACTTGGTGTTCCAAATTGCTACAAGTCCTTTACTCTCATTTTTGTAATTATTCGACTAAATTAAATTCCTCTGTCACTGCTGACCCTCATTAGAGTCAACGTTTTAACGTAAGTAGTTATTCGCGAAGATTAAGTATAAAGAAGTTTAATAAAAATTGAAAATTATAAAACGTGATACAAACAATTGAAATACATTTCTTGTTGACGTGTAATCTTATGGAACAATTCATGAAAAACGTTTTATTCATATGTGCTGCAGAATATGAATGCAGTAGATCGGAAAATATTTTGCACGACGTAAAAAATGTGCAAATATTTTATTCATATAAACTAGTAACTTTTTCTGTTCGATTATTGCATGGTATGTTTGAACACGAGGTAAAATTTTTAAAATCAAAATCAATTTTGTACATATCTGCCACATGATTTTTTTTAAAACTAATAATATGTGATGTTAATAACCATTCTACTTTTGCTGTTACATTTGTTTATTACTACAATTATTGTATTTATTTTATTATTTTATTATTGTATTATTGTATTATTATATGTATTATTGTGTTATGGATTTATT